TTTTCGTGGTACTACCACGACCTCACAGAAGACCGGCGTGCAAAAAACACTAATTTGCGCCTTAGGCCGGATTTTTCATATTAATATGACGCGATCTATTGCTTCTTTGCTGGTTTTATTTCTCCCATAGTGGTAAGCTTAGATTATATACACGTCTAGATAGTACCCACGTTTCGCTGTGGCTTTTTTCGTTTCCGTTGAAACTTCGAAATAAAAATTAGGTAACTATGTAAAATACTTACTCTCCTGTTCAAATTTCGAAATATTATAGCCCATTGCACTTATTTCAAACATGATTTAGTGTTTAGGAAAACCATAATTTCCATTATTGTTGAAATAAAAAAAAATTGCAAACTGTACAAATATTTGTGTACTATTCATTAATTACACAGACGTAGCATTTTTCGTCAAGGGAATTTTTGGGTCCAATGTTACATCCAACATTTAAATGCAAATAATGGAATAACAACAACATTACGGCTATTCCCCTAGCGTCGAATTTTCCAGGGCAGTGCTTAGTCATGCTCTATTAATAAATAATCAAGAGAATGTATATAAGAAGGAAAACGCTGGTTGTGTTTTCGAGCAGGTCGACCTTAAAGCGCGTTTAAAGTGTAGATAACGTATTTTCGTTCAAAAGCGTTCCTTCTAGAAATATCCAAGTAAAAATATTATTTTACTTATGGAATGAGTACTTTTACTTTATTTAATATTTAGATTTGTATTCATTGACGTATAGAGTACTGATAATTAAATTAAATAACTGAATAAGTAAATTTTAAACGATAAACGATCATTGAGATCATTTTATCGCTATTAATTATGTTTTCAAAACCTACAAGAAAAACTTTTTTTTAATGTGATAAAGTGGCAAACGAGCTAGCGGTTCGCCTGATATGTGATCATCAATCCTACGGGTGTTGCAAAAGTCCATGGGCGGCGGTTATCGGATCGGCGGGTGTCGGACGAAATTATCGCCCCGGCTAGAAGTCTTCAATAGGCAAAAAAAGACCCCAAAAAATTGAGATAGCACAGAGAGAGATTAGAATGTAGTCGTGAAAAGAGAAGAAAAACACCTTAATTCAAATATTTCCGTAGTTAGGGAAAATTCAGCTGAAAAATTCTATAACATTATTCATTCAATTGGATGATATGAAAATTTTAACATTTTTGGTTTGAATAAATATTTTCAAATCTTCCGATTTCATGAAATCTCTTTTATACACATCAAAAACAGGCTAAGTGACACCAACTAATAAAAATTCGACGTGACGGTGTTTTTACGGCTATCAGACAAATGTAATAAACATTACATAAGATAAATGTAATGATTGATAAATTGAAAAAAAAAAATAATTTTTGAGTCTTTATGAAAAGTATAAAAAAGTACTGGTTTTTGTTTATGCACATAAATAACATTTTTTGGTAAAGGTCTGGGAAAGAGACATCGTTTTTTCATTGAAAAATATTTTTAAACGATAAAGGAAAATAACTAAAATTAGAATTACCAAGTAAAAATCACCAGTCAAACCTACCTACTTTACACAGAAAAAAAAATTAAAACTTGTTACTCATGTCAGTACCTAAGCGTGGTACCTTGCATAAAATGATATTTTATGCTGGTGTAAAATGTCATTGCTTGCGTACAAAATGTATTTTATGTTAATATTTTTGCTTTGTTGGATATATGCCGTGATATTATTAAAATAAATTAGGTTCAACATTAATTATTATCTATTTCAAATTTCAGTTACGTTATACCAAATTGTAAAAATATTAGTAAGGGATAAAATGGCATGTCCGTAGTAGATTTTAACAATTTTTTTTAATAAAAATGTGACCACTGAGGTTACCTGACGATGTTGGTGGTCCATTGGTTATACGAGGATACACTGGTCTTCCAAAACCTTCATCTGGAGCATATCCCGATCGTGCCTAATCTGGTTTAAGTCCAGCCATGTGAGAATGTGAATGTTCTCCGACAACAAAGTACCTTTCGACAGCCAGCGTACAGAGGCATCAAAAGGTACTCGACTCTATGATCTTATTTTGAATGACCTAAATTTTGTCTTTTTGTATTTTTTAGGCTGTACAAGGCCTTTAGTAATCTACTAGACTGTTAATTACCCACAAAATTGTAACCTATCGCTGGCAAATAAACGTATTGAGTATTGAATTGTATTTTACCACTATTTACTTAAGATCCCATAGCAGATCAAGGGCTCTTTGTAAGAATTTGCTACGGGCCCCGCGCTTGCTTAATCCGGCACTATTTATCATATTTTTGCATCAGCTCGAACTTTATAAGAACTTAATCTTTAGATGTCCTATCCGGAATATTTGATGGCAAGCGCTCGGTGTGAAAATAAGCCTCTTAGCTTCTAAGCTATCCCTAGCCTAGCCAACGCCCTAGCTAGGCTAGGGCGTCGGTTGCGTATCCCGAAAAGGTAAGGTTCAAATCCTCACATCGGCGAAATAATTTCGTCCATTTTTCTAACAATTTTAGAAGAAAATATCGACTAACCAAAATATAAATATTTGATAAAGTAAAATGATTAATACTACGCACTAGAACACGCGTATCAACGTAATAGAGGTATGTTGCACTTGACAGATAGTGACTAGGTACTACGACATTTTGGACGTAAAAACATTTAAGTCTGTCACGTGATTAGGGACCTAGTAAAGTGTTCGCAATGTCAGGAATATCTTTATTTCGATATTCTGGACATAAAATTAAAAAGTAAAGTAATAGCCTATTTATGACTGCTAGGCAAAGGCATCTTTTGTATGGGATATATGGAGGGTATTATGACATAGGCCACTACGCGACCCCAATGCGGATTGGCAAAATCGTGAAATATTTTTTTGTTATTATTTCGAAGCTTTACAGGCTTCCTCAGAATGTTTTCCTTCGCTGATAAGCACTTGATAAGTCAGCACTTAAAATTAAGAATTTCATTGGTGCCGGCACAGGGATGTCAACTCGGGTTGCTCGCGTAGTTATATTGTATTAAAAGCGAGACCTCTTACCGCGCTTTGGGGTTGACCCGCACGAAACTACAACCAACATTTTCCTCCTTAAATATGTACATTCTCTTGATTATTAATAGAGCTCGACTCAGCTCTACACTGGAAAATTCGACGCTAAGGGAATTGCCGTAACGTTGTTTTAATTGCATGATTTGCATTTACCCGTTAGGTATAATGTTACTGCCGAATTCCCTTGACTGAAAACACTATGTATAACTAATTAATTTTGTGTATTTGAGTTTGTAAAGTTTTTGTTAGTTTTTCATTGTTATGAATAGAATGTATAACATAATATAGCATTGAAAAGCTTCATAGTTGATCGACGATTTACTACCAATAGCTTCTATAATTCTTTAGCACTAGACATATTGAGGATATATTCTTATACATTATTTTCATATTTTGTCTAAATTATGTTTTGTTTGATTGTAACGACACGAATTCACAAGAATTTTTTCCAAAACATTAAAATTTTGTATCCATTTATAGATACTAATATTATAAAGAATTACTGCTAATTGCGCATGTTTGTGTGTACGAACATGTGGACGGTTATTTCCGGATATAATGATTCAAATACGTGGGTATTGTTTTAAAAAAAAGTCGAAATTTGAAAGGTAAATTATTCCTTTATCTTATTTAAGTATGGAAGACGATAAAAAAATTACTCGAGGAATTGTTATCATAGTTATTTGAAGTAAAATCATTCATTCGTATCATTTTTTTGAGAGATGTGAGAAGGTGGCAAACGAGCTGACGGTTTACCTAATTTAAGTGATAACCACCGCCCAATTAGCTTTTGCGACACCCGTAGGGTTGCAGATGCGTTGTAACGTCTTAATAAAGTGTGCCCCGACTACTTCACTCGCAAGACGGAACGCAGAATTATAACATTTCCGTTTTACGCTGGTCTTCTGTGAGGTTGTGGTACTTACCCGGACGGACCTGCCCATTAGTGCAACAGAAAAGGCTGTTGCGTGGTCCAACCACAGTTAAATTTATTTGTGATCCTACTTATTTGTTTTATAAGTAGGATCACTGCGACGAATCCTTGAGCGAGCTACACTACGAGCTAATAGTAACGAAGTAGAAAGAGATAGCTAATACTACAAACGTTTCACTGCACTTTTTTAATCAAAAACGTGACATTAAGGGCACACAGCGACACACGCTGAATCGGAGAATCGTATGCCGCTATAATTCGGCCAACCTGTTCCCAATAGTTACGTCACTGCCTCTAGATTATCGTGCCTTTTTTATCAAACCGTTATTTTTTTTTTCAGTCTCTCGAACGAACGGTGTACGATGTTTTGTTAGAATTCATCACTACTTATAAATATTGGTATTTGGCTTATAAATATTTAACAATGAAAATATTGTAATCGAATTCGGAACCACTGTGTGCTGCAATAAAGTAGCACTTCTAGGTTCCTTGTTGTTAAACTATGAGGGTTTGGAATGAAAGAGATAAAATATTTCCATTTTTTTAACTTCAAATAGACTTACAACATGTGTACTCTCGGACAAGGTCGTATATTTATTGTAGTGTTACAATAAATATATTGTTGATACACTTGAATTATAGAAATTCAAATATATTTATTCAACATAGGCGCATCACACTCAATTATTGATTGTCAAAATACTACCGGTACGGAAATGAAAAGCCACTGAGAAGAACCGGCATGATACTAACATAAGAAGACGACTAAAAACTATTTTGTGTAAACATCTGTTTGTATTTTTAAACGGTGAACTTCTTCAGTTTAAGATCGAGAAACGGCATCGACTTTTCCGCACGACTGTACCGACCAAGAACTAAACTTTAACGCGCAAGTCAACAACAGTACACGGCAACTCCAGCCCCTACGCGAGTCACGACATATCGGTACCGCGGCTCCAAGCGATCGCACGCGGCTGCCCCGCCCAAGCACTTCGTAACTTTCGCTCGCGAATCATAACTAAAAATGCCCTCCCTATGGGACTATCTGCACTTCAACCGGCAGTACTCGAACAAGCGGAATTTAGAGGAAGGCCTCTTTCAAATCGCTTCACAGACATGCAACATATTAGTTAAGGTTAATAACACGAATAATATAAATTTGACGAGAAACGATCGCAGCGACGAGTACGGATGCGCCGGGCCCCCCAAAGGGAAGAGTTCGATGCAGATCTGCGTTCCGAAATTCAGGAAGAACTCCATCACTTCTGGGTGCAATCCAGGGTTATCGGTAAGTGAAATTTTATGACGTTGCTTTCATTTTGTTTTAATAAATTTTAGTTGGGTCCGTAGTGAGTTGTTTTTAATTTTAATGACATAGATCTTTAAAAAATTTGGTCAGAATGGAAATTTTTATATTAAACTAAACAATCAATAACTGCTTTTCCTCTTCATTCCTATTTATCGTTGAAAAAATTCAATTTATGATAACGGTTCTCTAGCAGTATAATAAGTTCGTAATGAAGTAAAAAAAGTTACTTTATTTACGTATTGAATTAATTTCAATTATAATTAATTAGTATACGGCCAATATTGATATATCATTTGCCAATGGCCAATATTGATATATGAAATAAGAAACGAATATGCCTACAAAGTTTTTAATTAAAGTATAATCTGAATATTTAATAATCCGTAACTTTTAATAACAGAAAATTTGTTTCACGTATAAAAAATACAAAATAAGGAAAGCAGTGAATTATGACAATAGGGAAAGTTTTAAAAATCATTAAAATGTTAAATGTGCATGTTCCGTTAGAACATATACATAAGTTAAGAAAACGGGAAAGTAATATTAAAATGTGACAGATATAGATTCATAGCCTTCTAAACTTTTCTTTTAATTTTTTTTAAATTTATTTCATCGATTTTACCAATTTGCATCATCCAGTTGTTCTCTGCTGTAAAATTATACGATCGCTGGTCAAAAACACCGCCACATTTACCCGTATTACGGAGTGGAGCACAATAGCCCACAATAGAGTACTATGGTATAATACACAGCAGCTTTTTCTTTTGTGCGTATGGGCAGGCTCGTTTGGGGAAGTACCACGACCTCATAGAAGACCGACGTGAAGTCTTCTACTTAAAAGAAAAGAAGAAGAAGAAATGTTTGTTCAGCGCATTACATTACAGGAAAAAATAAAATAAAATAAGGAACAAGAATAATACCGAAATCGTAAAAATGTACGTACTAAACAGGTCTCCGGATGCCTTAAAAGAGTGGCGTTCAGCTCCTTGCATACTGGCAACAAATAATGAAATTGAAATTAAAATAAAATAAAATAAAAATATACAAAGTTAAATACGGATAAACAAAAATCACCACTATATAATATAAAGCAAAGTCAACCCGCTGTCTGTCTTTCCTTATGTATGCTTAGATCTTTAAAACTATGCAACTACTAGATAAGAGTGATTCATGAGGAAGGTTTATAATGTATGTATAATACACTGCACTCGTGCGAAGCCGGGGCGCTAGTAAATTATAACGAACAAAAATTATTATCAAAAATTATAACGATCCGATAGTGCAATTATATTGGCAATCAGCGATATGATTGGTTTTACTCTGCCTTTTGAGAAGAAGTTTCAAGTTTGGTGTAACTTTAGGTTCAACTTTCGAGTTTCGTTTGATGAGTGAAGTATACGGGGTCCAGATTTTAATAAGCGCAGTCGTAATCACTTAGCATCTGGTCAACCACCTGCTTGGCAACTTTTCAAATGGTTAAATAAAAATCATCATTATAAGATATACAAAGACGAAAAAATAACAACATTTATAATATACACGATTACGAAAACAATTCATATCTGTTGAAATAATTAATTCTGTTTCGACTTAATTTCGGTTAGGTTATAACATTTTGTAACATAAAAATTCTACGAGTAGCGTAGACAAAATTTTATACAAAACTGAGCGAAAGTAGTAAAAACTCTCGTTATAGCTATTAACACGAACAGTACGAAAGCTTTTAGTTGTAAAAGCACAGATTCATAATTTAACAGTTGTCAAAGTTTGGGTAACGACGTCATCCGTCTTTTTGAGGGAAACCTTTAAAATTGCGACATTGAATAGTAAATCTTGTAACGATAAAAGTTTTCTTATAACGTATAGTTGAAGTCGATCAGAAAGTTTAAAATTTATGATAAAAAAAAAAGGAAAAAATATTCTTTTATCTATCATTATTTATAAATAATCATTATAAATCAAATCAATGGGAAGGAATAATCAAATTATTATACATAGATCTTTCCTAAAGACCGTGCAGGATCCTGAGCTTCCTGATTTTTGCAAGCAACCAAAACTCTTCGGTAAACTCGAATGATATTCAAAATGATATGATGACTCCGTGGCGCAGCTGCCAAGGTATTGGCTTCGACGTCTGGGGTCGTGGGTTCGATTCCCACCCGGGACAACTATTTTTGTGACCCACAGACAGTTGTTGCACATGTGGGTGTCTGTCCACGTGAAATTTATGTCTGTAAAACGTATAATGTGATCCTAAAGTAAGGGCAATTTTAAAAAAATAATCTGACTTCGTGCCAACTCTTAGATACCACTAAATGTTGATACACGACTTGAATGGATGCCCTGTTTTGGTGCAGAAAATGATGACGCAGCGGACAATTAAAAAAAATCATATACTTCCTTAGTAGATGATCCGGTAAACGTTGTTTTGCCATATAAATTATTTGTAGATAGAAAAAAATGTTTTGGGTGGACCACCCTTAACATTTAGGGGGATGAAAAATACATGTTGTCTGATTCTTCACCCTGACCGATATGCTCACAAATTTCACGAAAATCGGTCGCGCCGTTTTGGAGAAGTTCAATTACAAACACCGTGACTCGAGAATTTGATGTATTAGATATAATTCACATTTTTTTAGAAACTGCAATGTTACAAACAATTGGAAAATACTCTTAACAATGATAACAAAATGTTTTATTTAATATATGGATTCAGATGCATTGAATACGTTTTCTACACGATGTGGTCGTCCTTTTAAAGCATTTTCGGTAATGCGAAGAAAATTTATTCTCGCCCTCGGAATTTTGCCGCCTCTGAAAATTACGCCAAGTGCTTTAGTGTGAAACCTGCGCTGGAAATGGGTATAAGCGCCCATCGACAATGGTGACGCGACTGCAGCGGTTGAAATAATAGAGCTTTTTACAAGCGTTAAGCGATAACTGCGTCCTTGCCGTCAGTGTTAAAGATGCATAGGCGCGGAAGGCATGTGCAGTCCACACTCATTGCCTATCGCCGATAAGCCGACCAGGGTGAGTTGCGGAGCCGTCTAGTGCATTAGTGCTTCTTGGTGCTCTGTCTGCGCTGCGAAATATTTGCAAGCTGATTCGATTTGAGGTGAACGACCCGCCACGTTATTATCTTCACGTAGTTAGTTTTTTTAATCGTCACCCGTGACAGCCCCAACGCCGCCATATTGATTTTACCCGTAAAGAAAGACATCGCCGCTGCAAATGCCGCGATACGACCTTGTTCCAATTATTCACTGTTAGCCGCGACCCGGCGAGCGCCGTTTTTATTCGGCTATCGTTACCGATTTTTGTGTAACGACTCTAATAACTAATGCAAATCGTTGCATGCCTGCGGGATATTAACGGTACTCGTTCTTAAAACGTCGATAAATCGTTTGTATGGCCGCACTTTTCATTCATTATTGGTGCGAGCATTATGAAGCGTTTGTCTTTCTCTTATGCGAAAGCAGTTTTTTTGCGTTGTATGGTCATTATATATTCTAATGTGATATTAACACGTTAGTTATTTTTTTAGAACTACATATGAACTTTCCAGAGCATTGATCGACAGGTCCTTACTTAAATATTATGCCGCTTTAAATTACAATCTGTTGATATTATTGTCTATAAATATTAGCCAATAAGTAGCACTATTATGTCTAGAGGCATTAAAAGTCATAACAAAATAGAAAAATGTTAACATCGAATCATAATTCAAAGTTTGATTATATAATGTATTTCATTATCTACAAGGTAAAAAAATATGATACTATATTAACAGTATAATAATACGTAATATCTGTTAGTTTTTTTGAAATATTTATTTTCTTAATTTATCAGGACAATCCTAACTACACTAGTAACTGAGTTGTGAAATTGAATCAATGGAAGTACAATGTCTGTGGTACAATTTACACTGTTGCACGAATGGACAGGTCCGTCCGGGTAAGTACCACGGCCTCACAGAAGACCGGCATCAAAGTGTTGCACTTCTGCGTTTCGTCTGGTGATTGAGGTAGCCGGAGCCCACTTTATTAAAAGGTGGCAACGCATTTGCAACCCTACGGGTTCTGTAACTGTTCATGGACGGCCGGTATCACTCAACACTGGTGAACCGTCAGCTCATTTGCCTCTTTCTCACAATTAAAAAAAATTATACAGGTAATATATTACAATACATAAAACTATTGGGGTATAATTTTTGTAGCTGAATTTAATGAATTTCAGCTACAAAAATTTCCTTTTTTGGCGGATTCTTTTTTATCTAAATTTTGTGACTGTTATACCTAGTTTTTACCAACGTTAAAACGTTCTTTCTTTATTACTTTTTTTATACATGTTGCCCCCTATTTTATGCATGTCAATTTCAATTTCGTTGTCTTAAATCGCTTATGGGTTGTTTGAAAGAGATTTCTTTTATGGAATAAAGGGGGCATACGGGCAAGAGGTTCACCTGGTGGAAAGTGATCACCACCGCCCATGAACATCTGCAACACCGGAAGGCTTACAAATGCGTTGCCGGCCTTTTAGGACAAAAGCAGCGATAATAATGTCCCATCAAAGAAAAAGAGCCTATAGACAATGTTTAAGCAAATATTCCCTAAATAAAAATTTGCGATTACATTTTTTTTAAAGTATAATAAATATATACATTTTGAAAGTTAAGTACAATATCTGTTTTATTCCTATGATATTTACTCAAAGGTAAGCAACATAATATATTTTGTTTGGTAGTACAATACACTTAGTAATTGATGGTGCTGTTTACGTAAAATATATAGATATTTGCATAAAATAATACAAAGCACCAATACACAAATATTATTTGAATATATTTAATGTAGAATAAAAAGTAGAGCGTGTTTATTTTTGAGTGTATGTACGATTTTTAACGCATCTTAAATGACAGACAGTGCCTTTTTTCCCGGATTATCGAAGTAGCACTTATTAATTGTTCAGCGGTGAAG